TAACTTCTTTTAGGAAAGAATAAATTAAAAATAACAAAGTGTAACAAAGATTACAACCTCTAATGCCTTTGGGCCAAACAGGTAATGCAAGTCTCAAACACTGGAAAGGGGTGGGACAGCAGAAACCAGAAGCCACAGGTTCCATCTAGAAACATACATACTTTTATTTCTGAAACACCAAACCTGCCAAACAGCAAAGTTATGTGGGACAAATTTTGACAAATGGCTGACTTCACATAAACTGTGATTTCATGTTAACTTTCAAGAGTCAGATGCCTCACAATTTCTATACACTGAGGCTCATGTGTAACATTTAGACACAGACACTTTGTTTAGAGTAAAAAATCTGCTGGGTAAACAGGTGGTACCAGTTAGTGAAGTTTCTTTCCTTCTTTGGTGAACCTGAGAGCTAAAATTCCAGAAGCTACAGCCAGGAATCACAAGAAAAAGAAATTTGCATGAGCTCCATATAGATAAAACCAGGATACCTGGGGTACATGCCTATGTAGGTAATGTGACCAGTATGTCTAGAATGAGGGTGAAAACACTTGAAGAAAATAGCATAGATGTCACTAAGAAAAAAAAAAAAAAAAACTTCCTTGGTTTCTAAAAAATTAAAAGCACATATTTATCTCAACTGGGGTATCACTTATTGAGATTCATACATCTGTCAACAATCATTTTGTACATTTTAGTTTGATTTAATGAATATACATTTTAGCTAATTTTAAAATGCATCTTTAAGTGCATTTTAATTAAAGCAAAAGTATTACACTGGTCAGCCAGTGATGTGGTGGTTAGGCAGCTGGATGCCACGTGGTCAACTGTGTGGTTTGAGTCCCAGACCCAGACACATGAAAAACACGCCAGACACATGTTTCTGTGCCTGAAATCCTGAGAGGAGAATGGAGGAGAAGGGACTACAGAGTGACTATTCCTCCCGAGGGCTGCTTTCTCACTCTGCCCACTTCTGCCTCACTCTGGTGAATGTAAGCTCCCTATATCAAATTGTAAAAAACGACACATAAAAAGGTAAAATAAGAGAATGACAACCATGAAGGGAAAAATGTTTATCTCATGGAATACGAGATTATCTTATTAATACTCGTAACTGCTTTCTGAATCTAAAGTATCATTTTAAAAAGCATTTGAAACAAGCACTGGCTATTTAAAAAGAACATACTGTATAATTTGTACTGATTCATCCAAAATATATGGGAGGGCACAATTTGTGCAAGGAGCTGTGCTAGGTGTAGCTTTAACTGTAAAACAGACACTGCCACCATCCTCCTGAACTTCAGTCTCCTGGGAAACTGCACACTGAACAGGTGTTCCCAACACAGGGCTGGGAGGAGCTACAGCCAAGTGGGTAGTACACAGCTCAGGGAA